ATCACAAAATTAACTCTACCACTACTGCTAATAAGTCTATCACTCCAAAATAAATCTACCACTACTATAAATAAGTCTACGATTGCGCGAACCAACAATTAATCTACCGGTCACAAAATTAACTCTATTACTACTAGAAATAAGTCTACCGGTCACAAAATTAACTCTAATACTACTAGAAATAAGTCTACCAATCCCAAAATTAACTCTACCACTACTACAAATAAGTCTACCACATATTATAAATCTACCANTACTANAAATAAGTCTACGATTGCGAACCATCAATAAGTCTACCAACCACTTAATAAATCTACCAATCGCAAATAAATCTACNATCACATGAACGGTAGACTTATTCGCTTTTGGCGGAAAAATTTTGCTGCCTCATTAATAGCAGTTTCGTAAATACGTTTTTTGTCTTCAAATAAAATAAGGCTAAAACGGATCTAATAAATTTTTGAAGGTTGTTTGAATAATTATGAAAAATTAGCATCTTTTTGGTCAAAAAACCATTTTTCAAGGTTGTTTTAGTAAATCTCCCTATAATATATGGGGGTCTATTTTTGCAATTAATATTTGATTGTATTGATTTAACATCACGTACTGTATTTTAGTAATTAATGATATATATCACCTGCCATGCAATAATTTGTTTTATACCATTTTTTGTAACCAGAGAATTCCGGGCGTTACAAACTAATTTCCAAAAATTGTTGAATCCTATGCATTTCTGCCATTTTAAAGTATTTATAATAACCAACCATGAAATCTTAGGGAGAAAAACGTGAATGTTTATCTTCCAAACCCTCGTTGAATTTTTTAGTATTTGAACATCATAATCAATCATTTACGTCGTCTCAACGTATTTTCATATATTAGCTAGATTTAAACAATTTGATTCTATCTTTATATATTAATTATGTTACTTAGTTATATGAATGATGATGAAAACGTTAGCGGTGGTAGACATAACCATATAGTATTCAGATGTATATAGATAAGGTTATCAAGGGATACACATGAATAAAAATTTGTATAAAACCTCATGATATATTTCCTTCTATACGTCGTAAACGATTAAAAAACTTTAGCAGCTAATATTTTTGTTATTGTTAATTATTTCATTCTCCTGTTTGAAAATTAGCTCTTTTTATCTATTAGCTCATTTTATTTATTTTTCATTAATATGTGCTTACATATTTTCAAGATTTATAGTGATTTTCAAGATTTTCAGATGTCCAAGATTTTCATACTTGGTACTTATCGAGAAACATAAATATCTTGTAAAAAGAAAAAAATTTATAAATGCATATTGATGTTTCCAGATTTCCAAGGTTTTGTTCATAGCGATTCAGAATAGTTTAACAGAAAAAGTGAAAAATGTTGGTGCAATATGTTATTCTCTTCGAATATAAACCACGAACTTGCTGGCTTTAAATTTTGAGAAACAAACAAATAAATTAAATCCACGAATTTTAAAATATTGTTGTTTTGGCGGGGAATATAACCGTTTTACGTAAGAAAGAGGCAACCGATCAAACACATATGCCTTGTGATTAATTATCACCGGTTTCTCCGGCAAATATATATGTCGTCCTTTCATGACTGTAATTCGGATGAAACGAAAAGGCAACAGAATAGTTGTTGTTGTTGTCAATGGAGCTTACTGTACCATTTTTCTCAATCTTTTATGGAATAATTGGAGTGAAACTAGTAAAACAGAAAACCTTGTTTTACAAAAACAAAAAAGAAAATGACCTTGAAAAATATTCAAACAGAATTTTGTCTGCCATTCAAAACATGATATTTTTACAGTTTCCAAAGGATACATAAAACGAATATTATTGGTGTGTTTAATACTTAAATTAACAATTTTTGAAAGTTTCATACTTACGAATTAACGAACGTTGATTCGATAAATAAAAATCTAAAAAGTTAAAAATGGTAATAAATTCAAAAACATGTGACTAATAAGTTGATTGTTTTAAAAATTAAATATGAAACTTAAAAAAAAAATCAATTAAATAATAACTACAAGAAAATACACCATTTTTACTCCCTAAATACCACATGACCTATTATTTTTTCTCAAAAACATCATATTAACAAACCGTAAAAGTTTGACAACCATATTTTAACTAATGTTAATCCGATTTATTGAGGCAAAACACGCTGTTAAGATACATAAAACCTTACTAGTAAACTTTTAGTAAACTAGATGACTGTCCGCGTACACGCGGATAATTTATTTGTAATTTTTTTTTAATTTTACATTTTAAAAATGTGAATATATATGTATATGTTTTGCTTTTTTATTATTGACAGTGTTTTTGATATTTTTGTTGATATACTCTATTGTTTCCTCTCTTTTTTGTTTTTCAAACGTTTATTGTTTTCTATTTTTTATCATTAATGTCTTTAACACTTTTTCGTACATAAACACCCATTTTTTTTATTCTTCATACTCCAAATAGATCAATAAAAAGTGAAGGTGACAAATACTATAATAATTAAATTTTATGTTAATGGTAAGTTTTAGTTACGTTGAATATTAGCTTTGCCAATATTAGCATGCAAAAATATGTAACCATTGATTTAAAAAATAAAATATTTATATACAATTTATCTTAAATTATTTTGATATTTTCGAATTGTCTCGTGTTAGAAATTAACTTTTTTCTTAAGAATACGCATATTTTGATTTTATAAATTTGGACAAATCTTCTGTTAGAAATTACTTTTTTTTTCATTGTCTTGTATTAGAAATATATAAATTTATCTTAAACTATTTTGTTATTTTCAAAATTTCTTGTGTTAGAAATTATTTTTTCTTTAAGAATTCGGATATTTAGTTTTATAAATTTGGGAATGTTTTGTCATAAAACATAGTAAAATCTCTTTTGAATAGTTGTTAATTTTAAATCACCAATTTTTTTAAAAAAAACGATTTTTTATTATTATTATATAGGACAAATAGGAAAATATAATATTTAGAGATCAATTTAGCTCATTGTATTACTTAACGCAAATTTAAATATATAAACCCCCATATTTTTAATTCTTCATACCGCAAATATATAGATCAATAAAAAGTGAAGGTGAAAAATACTATAAATTTACGTATTTAATTACTAAAACATTTTTTGAATGAAAAACAAAATATTGATTGAAACTTCTTTTAATTTATTTATGGAAAAAATATGAATTTAGTTATAGAATATTTTGTAAAAGATTTTCTTATGATTCATATTTGCCATGTCATATTTCTTTTAAGTCAAGTCACGTCACAATAAAATTGGTGAGAGTGATTCTGGTGACGAGATCAACAAATTTTTTAAAATCAGTTCTCAAATAATATAAAAAGTGAAGGTGACAAATACAATAATAATTAAATTTTATCTTAATGGTAAGTTTTAATTACGTTGAATATTAGTTTTGCGAATATTAGCATGCAAAAATATGTAACAACTGATTTTAAAAATAAAATATAATTATATCTAATATAAAGATATGATTTTGATGAGAATTC